ATATCAACCTCTGCAATGTTCTATCACTCAGTCACCATCTAGCCAATTCCACCAATATCAACCTCTGCAATGTTCTATCACTCAGTCACCATCCAGCCAATTCCACCAATATCAACCTCTGCAATGTTGTATCACTCAGTCAAAATCCAGCCAATTCCGCCAATATCAACCTCTGCAATGTTTTATCAGTCAGTCACCATCCAGCCAATTCCACCAATATCAACCTCTGCAATGTTTTATCAGTCAGTCACAATCCAGCCAATTCCACCAATATCAACCTCTGCAATGTTTTATCAGTCAGTCACAATCCAGCCAATTCCTCCAATATCAACCTCTGCAATGTTTTATCAGTCAGTCACAATCCAGCCAATTCCACCAATACTAACCCCCGCATTGTTCTATCACTCAGTCACCATCCAGCCAATTCCACCAATATCAACCTCTGCAATTTTCTATCACTCAGTCACAATCCAGCCAATTCCACCAAAACCAACCTCTGCAATGTTCTATCACTCAGTCACCATCCAGCCAATTCCACCAATATCAACCTCTGCAATGTTGTATCACTCAGTCACCATCCAGCCAATTCCACCAATATCAACCTCTGCAATGTTGTATCACTCAGTCACCATCCAGCCAATTCCACCAATATCAACCTCTGCAATGTTCTATTACTCAGTCACCATCTAGCCAATTCCACCAATATCAACCTCTGCAATGTTCTATTACTCAGTCACAATCCAGCCAATTCCACCAATACCAACCTCTGCAATGTTCTATTACTCAGTCACCATCTAGCCAATTCCACCAATATCAACCTCTGCAATGTTCTATTACTCAGTCACAATCCAGCCAATTCCACCAATACCAACCTCGGCAATGTTCTATTACTCAGTCACCATCTAGCCAATTCCACCAATACCAACCTCTGCAATGTTCTATTACTCAGTCACCATCCAGCCAATTCCACCAATATGAACCTCTGCAATGTTGTATCACTCAGTCACCATCCAGCCAATTCCACTAATATAACACCCGCATTGTACTGTCAGTCAGTCACCATCCAGCCAATTCCACCAATATCAACCTCTGCAATGTTTTATCAGTCAGTCACAATCCAGCCAATTCCGCCAATATCAACCTCTGCAATGTTTTATCAGTCAGTCACAATCCAGCCAATTCCACCAATATCAACCTCTGCAATGTTTTATCAGTCAGTCACAATCCAGCCAATTCCACCAATATCAACCCTTGCGTTGTTCTTTCACCCAGTCAACATCCAGCCAATTCCTTTATTATATATCACCTGCATTTTTCTACGAGCCAGTCACAATCCAGCCAATCCCACCAACATAAACCATTGCATTGTTCTATCAGCCAGTCCCAATCCAGGCAAATTCCACCAATATCAAACCCTGCATATTCTTTCAGCCAGTCACCATCCAGCCAATATCACCAATATCAACCTCTGCAATGTTCTATCACTCAGTCACAATCCAGCCAATTCCACCAATATCAACCTCTGCAATGTTCTTTCAGCCAGTCACAATCCAGCCAAGTCCACCAATATTAACCCCCGCATTGTTCTATCCCTCAGTCACAATCCAGCCTATTCCACCAATACTAACCCCCGCATTGTTCTATCAGTCAGTCACAAGCCAGCCAATTCCACCAATATTAACCCCGCATTGTTCTATCACTCAGTCACAATCCAGCCTATTCCACTAATATCAACCCTTGCGTTGTTCTATCAGTGAGTTCCAGTCCAGCCAAATTCGACCAATATCAAACCCTGCATTGTTCTAGTCAGTCAGTCAGTAAGTCACAGTCCAGGTAAATTCAACCAATATCATCCCCTGCAATGTTCTATCATCCAGTCACAATCCAGCCAATTCCACTAATATCAACCTCTGCAATGTTCTTTCAGCCTGTCACCATCCAGCCAATTCCTTTATTATATATCACCTGCATTGTTCTACCAGCCAAATTTAACCAATATCAACCCCTGCAATGTTCTATCAGCTAGTCACAAGCCAGCCAATTCCACTAATATCAACCCCTGCAATGTTCTATCAGCTAGTCACAAGCCAGCCAATTCCACTAATATCAACCCCTGCAATGTTCTATCAGCTAGTCACAAGCCAGCCAATTCCACTAATATCAACCCCTGCAATGTTCTATCAGCTAGTCACAAGCCAGCCAATTTCACTAATATCAACCCCTGCAATGTTCTATCAGCTAGTCACAAGCCAGCCAATTCCACTAATATCAACCCCTGCAATGTTCTATCAGCTAGTCACAAGCCAGCCAATTCCACTAATATCAACCCCTGCAATGTTCTATCAGCTAGTCACAAGCCAGCCAATTCCACTAATATCAACCCCTGCAATGTTCTATCAGCTAGTCACAAGCCAGCCAATTCCACTAATATCAACCCCTGCAATGTTCTATCAGCTAGTCACAAGCCAGCCAATTTCACTAATATCAACCCCTGCAATGTTCTATCAGCTAGTCACAAGCCAGCCAATTCCACTAATATCAACCCCTGCAATGTTCTATCAGCTAGTCACAAGCCAGCCAATTCCGCTAATATCAACCCCTGCAATGTTCTATCAGCTAGTCACAAGCCAGCCAATTCCGCTAATATCAACCCCTGCAATGTTCTATCAGCTAGTCACAAGCCAGCCAATTCCACTAATATCAACCCCTGCAATGTTCTATCAGCTAGTCACAAGCCAGCCAATTCCACTAATATCAACCCCTGCATTTAACAAGAGTCAAGTTATTTATTCATACCATTGGCAAACTGAGACTCCATTGACCCAAAACTCAATATATTTACAAGGTATACGTGTTTCTTCTTACAATGCATGATATATATACAGTGCATCTCCCATGTAATAGCAAACTCGTGAATACTTCTGGTATCTGACTCGCCTTTGCTCTAAAGCTGATATTACACATGAGTTTGTTTTATATATCACTTGCTGTTTAGAACTTTTTAAAATCCCACTGTCTTGTGTGTAAATAGGCGTCTGCGCGATCCACACCAAACTCCAATTGAGTTTAACAGAAGAATACTTCAACCACATCGTATTAACTGAATGTCACTCAGGGGTCCGTTCTACAAAACTCTGGTAGCGCTGAGGTTATCGTGACTCCCATACTTTACAGAGACTTACGATCGCGTCCACCATTTCTAGTTTTGTCCCTTATTGCTCGGGTCATATATAAAAAAAGAGAAAATTGGGGGTAAGACATTTAGGCAAGAAGTAGGTATTCCGCACCCCTTCTTGCTCATCTGTTTCTTTAATCCTATGAATCGGAATTTCTGCTCGGAATTGCAAAGTCAAAACAAGGGAATTTGGCCAAGAAGCTTAACTTCCGCTTCAGGTGTATCGATAGTCAGATATCGTTCAATAACTGATTTATCTCCCTGAACAAGGAAAACAAGAGGCCTGTGAAACTGCCTCAACTGTTTCATGTTTAGATCTGTGCGTTACGATTTTGTGTTGAAAGGGCTTTGTCGCTCTGTTACTATGCCACAGACACGTCACGGTTTGCACTCTAATGTCTCTGTTACCGACACGTGACGGTTTAATGTCCCTGTTATAGAACGTCACGGTTTAATGTCCCTGTTACAGACACGTCATTGTTTAATGTCCCTGTTACAGACTCGTCATGGTTTAATGTCCCTGTTACGGACACGTCACGGTTTGCACTCTAATGTCTCTGTTACCGACAAGTGACGGTTTAATGTCCCTGTTATAGAACGTCACGGTTTAATGTCCCTGTTACAGAACGTCACGGTTTAATGTCCCTCTTACAGACACGTCACGGTTAAATGTCCGTGTTACAGACACGTCACGGTTTAATGTCCCTGTTACAGAACGTCACGGTTTAATGTCCCTGTTACAGAACGTCACGGTTTAATGTCCCTGTTACAGAACGTCACAGTTAAATGTCCCTGTTACAGACACGTCATGGTTTGCACTCTAATGTCCCTGTTACAGAACGTCACGGTTTAATGTCCCTGTTACAGACACGTCATTGTTTAATGTCCCTGTTACAGACTCGTCATGGTTTAATGTCCGTGTTACAGACACGTCACGGTTTAATGTCCCTGTTACAGACACGTCATGGTTTGCACTCTAATGTCCCTGTTACAGAACGTCACGGTTTAATGTCCCTGTTACAGACACGTCATTGTTTAATGTCCCTGTTACAGACACGTCATAGTTAAATGTCCGTGTTACAGACACGTCACGGTTTAATGTCCCTGTTACAGACACGTTATGGTTTGCACTCTAATGTCCCTGTTACAGAACGTCACGGTTTAATGTCCCTGTTACAGACACGTCATTGTTTAATGTCCCTGTTACAGACTCGTCATGGTTTAATGTCCCTGTTACAGGCACGTCCCGGTTTGCACTCTAATGTCTCTGTTACCGACAAGTGACGGTTTAATGTCCCTGTTATAGAACGTCACGGTTTAATGTCCCTGTTACAGACACGTCATAGTTTAATGTCCATGTTACAGACACGTCACGGTTTAATGTCCCTGTTACAGACACGTCATGGTTTGCACTCTAATGTCCCTGTTACAGAACGTCACGGTTTAATGTCCCTCTTACAGACACGTCACGGTTAAATGTCCCTGTTACAGACACGTCACGGTTTAATGTCCCTGTTACAGAACGTCACGGTTAAATGTCCCTGTTACACACACGTCATGGTTTGCACTCTAATGTCCCTGTTACAGAACGTCACGGTTTAATGTCCCTGTTACAGACACGTCACGGTCTTCATTCTCTGTTGCAGACACGTCAGGGTCTAATTTCTCTGTTACAGACATGTCACGGTTTAATGTCCCTGTAACAGACACGTCAAGGTTTAATGTCCCTGTTACAGAACGTCACGGTTTAATGTCCCTGTTACAGACACGTCACGGTCTTCATTCTCTGTTGCAGACACGTCACGGTCTAATTTCTCTGTTACAGACACGTCAAGGACAATACAGCCCTCAACTAGACGCCATACTGGATTGGCTGGTTAACATCCAAGATTATAACGGAAGTGAGGATACAATCTGTCATATTGTGTCACAACGCCTACACTATGGTGGAATCTGTCAAGACTGGGCTCCTGTCAGTACCGGACCACATTTGCGATGTTGCCGCTTTTAGATGCGACAGGATCTGCTGACAGTGGGCTCGATTCTCAGATTCTTCCCACATCATTGTTCACGCGTTGCATCAACTTTAACAACATGCGTCTCTTTATGTGCCCCACACTGAACTGACATGACATGATATATCTGACACACCATGATATAACTGCACACCGTGATATATCTGACATGCCATGATATAACTGACACACCATGATATAACTGCACACCGTGATATAACTGACACACCGTGATATAACTGCACATCGTGATATAACTGAAATACCATGATAAAACAGCACACCGTGATATAACTAACATGCCATGATAAAACTGCACACCTTTATATAACTGACACACCGTGATATAACTGCACATCGTGATATAACTGACATACCATGATAAAACTGCACACCGTGATATAACTAACATGCCATGATAAAACTGCACACCTTGATATAACTGACACACCATGATATAATTGCACATCGTGATATAACTGAAATACCATGATAAAACTGCACACAGTGATATAACTCAGATGCCGTGAAAAAACTGCACACCGTGATGTAACTGACATGCCATGATAAAACCTGTACACCATGATATAAGTGACATGCCATGATAAAACTGCACACTTTGATATAACTGACATGCCATGATAAAACTGCACACCATGATATAACTGACACGCCTTGATAAAACTGCACACTGTGATTTAACTAACATGCCGTCATAATACTGCACACCACGATATAACTGACATGCCATGATAAAACTGCACACCATTATATAACTAACATGCCGTGATAAAACTGCACACCATTATATAACTTATATGCCGTTACAAAACTGCACACAGTGATATAACTGACATGCCATGATAAAACTGGATATCATGATATAACTGACATGCCATGATAAAACTGCACACCATGATATAACTGACATGCCGTGAAAAAGACTGCACAGTGTGATATAAATGACAAGCCGTAATAAAATTGCACACCAGGATCTAACTGACATGCCGTGATAAAAGTAACACACCGTGATATAAATGACATACCGAGATATAACTGACCTACCGATACATAACTGACATACCGAGATATAACTGACATACTGATCAGATATAACTGACATACCGAGATATAACTGACATACTGAGATATAACTGTCCTACCGAGATAGAACTGAAACACCATGATATAACTGACATGCCGTGATAAAAGTAACACACCATGATATAAATGACATACCGAGATATAACTGACATACCGATATATAACTGACATACCGAGATATAACTGACATACTGAGATATAACTGACATACCAAGATAGAACTGACCTACCGAGATAGAACTGAAACACCATGATATAGCTGACATACCGAGTTATAACTGACATGCCGTGATATAACTAACATACCGAAGTATAACTGACCTACCGAGATATAACTGACATACCAAGATATAACTGATAATACTGTGATATAACTGATATGCCGTGATATAACTGACATACCATGATATAACTGACATACCAAGATATAATTGACATACCAATTTATTACTGACCTACCGAGATATAGCTGACACACCATGATATAGCTGACATACCGAGATATAACTGATAATACTGTGATATAACTGATATGCCGTGATATAACTGACATACCGAGATATAACTGATAATACTGTGATATAACTGACATACCGTGATATAACTGACATGCCGTGAAAAAACTGCACAGTGATATAACTGACATACCATGATATAACTGACATGCCATAATAAAACTGCACAACATGATATAACTGACATACCATGACAAAACTGCACACCGTGATATAACTGACCTGCCGTGATAAAACTGACATACCATGATATAACTGACATGCCATGATAAAACTGCACACCACAATATAACTGACATACCATGATATAACTGACATGTTATGATAAAATTGCACACCATAATATAACTGACATGCCATGATAAAACTGCACAACATGATATAACTGACATGCCATGATAAAACTGCACACCATGATATAACTGACATGCCATGATAAAACTGCACACTTTGATATAACTGCCATGCCGTGAAAAAACTGCACAACATGATATAACTGACATGCCATGATAAAACTGCACACCATAATATAACTGACATGCCATGATAAAACTGCACAACATGATATAACTGACATGCCATGATAAAACAGCACACCATGATATAACTGCCATGCCGTGAAAAAACAGTACACTGTGATATAACTGACAAGCCGTGATAAAATTGCACACCAGGATATAACTGACGTGCCGTGATATAAGTAACACAACGTGATATAAATGACATACCGAGTAATAACTGACCTACCGAGATATAACTGACATACCGAGATATAACTGACATACTGAGATATAACTGATAATACTGTGATATAACTGATATGCCGTGATATAACTGACATACCATGATATAACTGACATGCCGTGATATAAGTAACACACTGTGATATAAATGACATACCAATATATAACTGACCTGCCGAGATATAACTGACACACCATGATATAGCTGACATACCGAGATATAACTGATAATACTGTGATATAACTGATATGCCATGATATAACTAACATACCGAGATATAACTGACATGTATGAGTCATATGTGAGTCAGTATATGTGAGCTACAAAGTGGCGATCCATATAGATGAGCCATAAATTGGCGATCCATGTAGATGAGTGGTGTGGTGAGGATCCATACAGATGAGCGGTGTAGTGAGGATCCATTTAGACGAGTGGTGTAGTGAGGATCCATTTAGATGAGCGGTGTAGTAAGGATCCATTTAGATGAGCAGTGTAGTGAGGATCCATTTGGATGAGCGGTGTAGTGAGGATCCATTTAGATGAGCGGTGTAGTGAGGATCCATATAGATGAGCGGTGTAGTGAGGATCCATTTAGATGAGCGGTGTAGTGAGGATCCATACATATGAGCGTTGTAGTGAGGATCCATGCAGATGCGTGGTGTATGAGGATCCATACAGATGAGCGGTGTAGTGAGGATCCATACATATGAGCGGTGTAGTGAGGATCCATGCAGATGTGTGGTGTATGAGGATCCATACAGATGAGCGGTGTAGTGAGGATCCATACATATGAGCGGTGTAGTGAGGATCCATATAGATGAGCTATGAAGTGGTAATCTATATAGATGAGCAGTGTAGTGAGGGTCCATACATATGAGCGGTGTAGTGAGGATCCACATAGATGAGCGGTGTAGTGAGGATCCATATATATGAGCTCTGTATTGAGGATCCATATACATGAGCGGTGTAGTGAGGATCCATATATATGAGCGATGTAGTGAGGGTCCATATAGATGAGCGGTGTATTGAGGATCCATATACATGAGCGATGTAGTGAGGATCCATATATATGAGCTCTGTATTGAGGATCCATATACATGAGCGATGTAGTGAGGATCCATATAGATGAGCGATGTAGTGAGGGTCCATATAGATGAGCGGTGTAGTGAGGATCCATATAGATGAGCGGTGTAGTGAGGATCCATATAGATGAGCGATGTAGTGAGGATCCATATAGATGAGCGGTGTAGTGAGGATCCATATAGATAAGTGATGTAGTGAGGATCCATATAGATGAGCGATGTAGTGAGGATCCATATAGATGAGCGGTGTAGTGAGGATCCATATAGATGAGCGGTGTAGTGAGGATCCATATACATGAGCGGTGTAGTGAGGATCCATATAGATGAGCTATGAAGTGGCGATCCATATAGATGAGCGGTGTAGTGAGGATCCATATAGATGAGCTGTGTAGTGAGGATCCATATAGATGACCGGTGTAGTGAGGATCCATATAGATGAGCTATGAAGTGGCGATCCATATAGATGAGCGGTGTAGTGAGGATCCATACATATGAGCGGTGTAGTGAGGGTCCATATAGATGAGCGGTGTAGTGAGGATCCATATAGATGAGCAGTGTAGTGAGGGTCCATATAGAAGAGCGGTGTAGTGAGGATCCATATAGATGAGCAGTGTAGTGAGGATCCATATAGATGAGCTATGAAGTGGCGATCCATATAGATGAGCAGTGTAGTGAGGATCCATATAGATGAGCGGTGTACTGAGGGTCCATATAGATGAGCAGTGTAGTGAGGATCCATATAGATGAGCGGTGTAGTGAGGATCCATATAGATGAGCTATGAAGTGGCAATCCATATAGATGAGCGGTGTAGTGAGGGTCCATATAGATGAGCGGTGTAGTGAGGATCCATACATATGAGCGTTGTAGTGAGGATCCATATAGATGAGCGGTGTAGTGAGGATCCATATAAAAGAGCGGTGAAGTGAGGATCCATATAGATGCGCGGTGTAGTGAGGATCCGTACAGATGGGCTGTATATTAACCGGGAGATGTGTGGAGACGAGATGCATAGTGGGGATCCGTATATATAGAGATATAATAGATGAACTATGTTATGAGGATCACTGTTCTTGAGCCACATGTCTGTTGCAGGTGATGTGTGTACGGAAGAACTGTGTACAGGAGCCATGGCGAGCCGGATGATGAGCAGAATGGCAGCTCGGAATGCTTGTCCACACTGGAGGTCTGGGTTTGGCAGTTGCGGTGAGTCGCGATCCACACTTCGTGTACGGCATATGTTGTGTTTGTTTTCGTCAACAATCCCCAACAACATAGAAAAGAACAGTGGGATTTGTGATATTATCAAAATGTTTTTTACAAAATTTATTAATTGAGATCTAATTACTAGTTGTTAGAAACAATTTAATCCAAAAGTAAGTTAAGTCAGTGTTTATTTAGGTATTAGTTGATCTCTTCAGCTTGAATTTATCTGCCATCACTGTATACTTCCTGACACAGTGAGGGTTTACAAGGAGTCACTGTATGGTGTGAAATGGGGGACTTTAATGCAACAATTATCACTAAAAATTGCTTTTACTCTTACATTGGTCAATCTGACTTAAGCGTTCTTCACAGTCATGGTAGAATAAAAGTTATCCCACGACTGTTTTGGGGGATGGTAAATATCCAATATTAGGAAATTACATTTGATATTTTGAATCCTGCAATTCCATTGGTTGATCCGTACCACGTGACGAAACAATACTTTTCAATGTAGACTCCAAATCATGTGACTGACATTGATCTCAAATATTGACTCGTCACATCATCAATATTGAACGTCACGTGATGAATATTGACTCGTCTGCACGAAAACATGAAGGCGTCTGGCATAATAACATTTTAACTTAATGCACGTAGCATGAATGACGGGGTAATATTATTAATTCATAAAAGTGAATCACTCAGAAAGTTACTGAATTCATTTCAGGTGGCTCAAACGTGACCTTTAACCCAGACCAATTACTTCCCTCATCACGTGACTTTTACTACTTATACGGTTCTCTGACAACGCCCACTTTGTCTGAGAGCGTCCTGTGGCAGGTGATGATGCAGCCGTTGAGGATAACCCGGAGACAGGTGAGTACAGGTGTAACGTTGAGGATAACCCGGAGACAGGTGAGTACAGGTGTAACGTTGAGGATAACCCGGAGACAGGTGAGTACAGGTGTAACGTTGAGGATAACCCGGAGACAGGTGAGTACAGGTGTAACGTTGAGGATAACCCGGAGAAAGGTGAGCACAGGGGTTGAGGATAACCAGGAGACAGGTGAGCACAGGAGTTGAAGATAACCCGGAGAAAGGTGAGTACAGGGGTTGAGGATAACCCGGAGAAAGGTGAGTACAGGGGTTGAGGATAACCCGGAGAAAGGTGAGCACAGGGGTTGAGGATAACCAGGAGACAGGTGAGCACAGGAGTTGAAGATGACCCGGAGAAAGGTGAATACAGGGGTAACGTTGATGATAATCCGGAGAAAGGTGAGCACAGGGGTTGAGGATAACCAGGAGACAGGTGAGCACAGGAGTTGAAGATAACCCGGAGAAAGGTGAATACAGGGGTTGAGGATAACCCGGAGAAAGGTGAATACAGGTGTAACGTTGAGGATAACCCGGAGAAAGGTGAGTACAGGGGATGAGGATAACCCGGAGAAAGGTGAGTACAGGGGATGAGGATAACCAGGAGAAAGGTGAGTAGAGAGGTTGAGGATAACCCGGAGAAAGGTGAATACAGGGGTAACGTTGATGATAATCCGGAGAAAGGTGAGTACAGGGGATGAGGATAACCCGGAGAAAGGTGAGAACAGGGGTTGAGAATAACCCGCAGAAAGGTGAATACATGGGTAACGATGAGGATAATCCGGAGACAGGTGAGTACAGGGGTTCAGGATAACCCGGAGACAGGTGAATACAGGGGTTGAGCATAACCTGGAGAAAGGTGAATACAGGTGTAACGTTGAGGATTACCCGGAGACAGGTGAGTACAGGTGTAACATTGGGGATTATCCGGAGAAAGGTGAGTACAGGGGTAACGTTGAGGATAACCCGAAGACAGGTGAGTAAAGGTGTAACGTTGAGGATAAACTGGAGACAGGTGAGTACAGGTGTAACGTTGAGCATTACCTGGAGACAGGCAAGTACAGGTTTAACGTAGAGGATTACACGGAGATAGGTGTGTACAGGTGATGAGGATAACCCGGAGAAAGGTGAGTACAGGGGTTGAGGATAACCCGGAGATAGGTGTGTACAGGTGATGAGGATAACCCGGAGAAAGGTGAGTAGAGAGGTTGAGGATAACCCAGAGACAGTTGAGTACAGGGGATGAAGATAACCCGGAGAAAGGTGAGTACAAGGGTTGAGGATAACCCTGTGACAGGTGAGTAGAGAGGTTGAGGGTAACCCGGAGACAGGTGAGTACAGGGGATGAGGATAACCCGGAGACAGGTGAGCACAGGGGATGAGGATAACCCGGAGACAGGTGAAAACAGGGGATGAGGATAACCCGGAGACAGGTGAGTACAGGGGTTGAGGATAACCCGGAGACAGGTGAGAACAGGGGATGAGGATAACCCTGAAACAGGTGAATACAGGGGATGAGGATAATGCGGAGACAGGTGAGTACAGGGGTTGAGGATAACCCGGAGAAAGGTGAGTGCAGGGGTTGAGGATAACCGGGAGACAGGTGAGTACAGGGGATGAGGATAACCCCGGAGAAAGGTGAGTACAGGGGTTGAGGATAACCCGGAGACTGGTGAGTACAGGGGTTGAGAATAACTCGGAGACAGGTGAATACAGGGGTTGAGAATAACACGGAGAAAGGTGAATACAGGGGTAACGTTGAGGATAACCCAGAGACAGGTGAGTACAGGGGTTCAGGATAACCCGGAGACAAGTGAATACAGGGGTAACGTTGAGGATAACCCTGAGACAGGTGAGTACAGGTGTAACATTGGGGATTATCCGGGGAAAGGTGAGTACAGGTGTAACGTTGAGGATAAGCCGGAGACAGATGAGTAAAGGTGTAACGTTGAGGATAAACCGGAGACAGGTGAGTACAGGTGTAACGTTGAGGATTACCTGGAGACAGGTGAGTACAGGTTTAACGTAGAGGATTACCCGGAGACAGGTAAGTACAGGGGATGAGGATAACCCAGAGAAAGGTGAATACAGGGGATGAGGAAACCTCGGAGAAAGGTGAGTACAGGGGTTGAGGATAACCCGGACACAGGTGAGTACAGGGGATGAGGATAACCCGGAAACAGGTGAATACAGGGGATGAGCATAACCCAGAGACAGGTGAATACAGGGGATGAGGATAACCCAGAGAAAGGTGAATACAGGGGATGAGGATAACCCAGAGACAGGTGAATACAGGGGATGAGCATAACCCAGAGACAGGTCAATACAGGGGATGAGGTTAACCCGGAGAAAGGTGAATACAGGGGTTGAGGATAACCCGGAGAAAGGTGAATACAGGTGTAACGTTGAGGATAACCCGGAGAAAGGTGAGTACAGGGGATGAGGATAACCCGGAGAAAGGTGAGTACAGGGGATGAGGATAACCAGGAGAAAGGTGAGTAGAGAGGTTGAGGATAACCCGGAGAAAGGTGAATACAGGGGTAACGTTGATGATAATCCGGAGAAAGGTGAGTACAGGGGATGAGGATAACCCGGAGAAAGGTGAGAACAGGGGTTGAGAATAACCCGCAGAAAGGTGAATACATGGGTAACGATGAGGATAATCCGGAGACAGGTGAGTACAGGGGTTCAGGATAACCCGGAGACAGGTGAATACAGGGGTTGAGCATAACCTGGAGAAAGGTGAATACAGGTGTAACGTTGAGGATTACCCGGAGACAGGTGAGTACAGGTGTAACATTGGGGATTATCCGGAGAAAGGTGAGTACAGGGGTAACGTTGAGGATAACCCGAAGACAGGTGAGTAAAGGTGTAACGTTGAGGATAAACTGGAGACAGGTGAGTACAGGTGTAACGTTGAGCATTACCTGGAGACAGGCAAGTACAGGTTTAACGTAGAGGATTACACGGAGATAGGTGTGTACAGGTGATGAGGATAACCCGGAGAAAGGTGAGTACAGGGGTTGAGGATAACCCGGAGATAGGTGTGTACAGGTGATGAGGATAACCCGGAGAAAGGTGAGTAGAGAGGTTGAGGATAACCCAGAGACAGTTGAGTACAGGGGATGAAGATAACCCGGAGAAAGGTGAGTACAAGGGTTGAGGATAACCCTGTGACAGGTGAGTAGAGAGGTTGAGGGTAACCCGGAGACAGGTGAGTACAGGGGATGAGGATAACCCGGAGACAGGTGAGCACAGGGGATGAGGATAACCCGGAGACAGGTGAAAACAGGGGATGAGGATAACCCGGAGACAGGTGAGTACAGGGGTTGAGGATAACCCGGAGACAGGTGAGAACAGGGGATGAGGATAACCCTGAAACAGGTGAATACAGGGGATGAGGATAATGCGGAGACAGGTGAGTACAGGGGTTGAGGATAACCCGGAGAAAGGTGAGTGCAGGGGTTGAGGATAACCGGGAGACAGGTGAGTACAGGGGATGAGGATAACCCCGGAGAAAGGTGAGTACAGGGGTTGAGGATAACCCGGAGACTGGTGAGTACAGGGGTTGAGAATAACTCGGAGACAGGTGAATACAGGGGTTGAGAATAACACGGAGAAAGGTGAATACAGGGGTAACGTTGAGGATAACCCAGAGACAGGTGAGTACAGGGGTTCAGGATAACCCGGAGACAAGTGAATACAGGGGTAACGTTGAGGATAACCCTGAGACAGGTGAGTACAGGTGTAACATTGGGGATTATCCGGGGAAAGGTGAGTACAGGTGTAACGTTGAGGATAAGCCGGAGACAGATGAGTAAAGGTGTAACGTTGAGGATAAACCGGAGACAGGTGAGTACAGGTGTAACGTTGAGGATTACCTGGAGACAGGTGAGTACAGGTTTAACGTAGAGGATTACCCGGAGACAGGTAAGTACAGGGGATGAGGATAACCCAGAGAAAGGTGAATACAGGGGATGAGGAAACCTCGGAGAAAGGTGAGTACAGGGGTTGAGGATAACCCGGACACAGGTGAGTACAGGGGATGAGGATAACCCGGAAACAGGTGAATACAGGGGATGAGCATAACCCAGAGACAGGTGAATACAGGGGATGAGGATAACCCAGAGAAAGGTGAATACAGGGGATGAGGATAACCCAGAGACAGGTGAATACAGGGGATGAGCATAACCCAGAGACAGGTCAATACAGGGGATGAGGTTAACCCAGAGAAAGGTGAATACAGGGGATGAGCATAACCCAGAGACAGGTGAATACAGGGGATGAGGATAACCCAGAGAAAGGTGAATACAGGGGATGAGCATAACCCAGAGACAGGTGAATACAGAGGATGAGCATAACCCAGAGACAGGTGAATACAGGGGATGAGGATAACCCAGAGACAGGTGAATACAGGGGATGAGCATAACCCAGAGACAGGTGAATACAGGGGATGAGGATAACCCAGAGAAAGGTGGATACAGGGGATGAGGATAACCCGGAAACAGGTGAATACAGGGGATGAGCATAACCCAGAGACAGGTGAATCCAGGGGATGAGGATAAGCCGGAGAAAGGTGAGTACAGGAGTTGAGGATAACCCAGAGGAAGGTGAGTACAGGGATAGAGGATAACCTGGAGACAGGTGAGTACAGGGGTTGAGGATAACCCGGAAACAGGTGAATACAGGGGATGAGCATAACCCAGAGACAGGTGAATACAGGGGATGAGGATAACCCAGAGAAAGGTGAATACAGGGGATGAGGATACCTCGGAGACATGTGAGTAGAGGGGATGAGGATAACCCGGAGACAGCTGAGAACAGGGGTTGAGGATAACCCAGAGACAGGTGAATACAGGGGATGAGGATAACCCAGAGAAAGGTGAATACAGGGGATGAGGATAACCCAGAGAAAGGTGAATACATGGGATGAGGATAACCCGGAGACAGGTGAGTACAGGGGATGAAGATAACCCAGAGAAAGGTGAATACAGGGGTTGAGG